CAGATGGGACATTTATATCTCTGTTTTTCTGCCTTTCAAATAAATAGACGAAGTGATTAAGTCATAATTAATAAGACTTTTGACTCACGATAACATAGACAGGAAATGTGTGGTAACCCTGGCACGAAGAGCAGAGGGCTCAGTGTAGGACCATAATCACTGTGCTGTAACACTCTTTTATTAACTGGTGGTTATGGCATGTGATGCAGTTGTAGAAATTCATCAGGCTGGATGCTTAAGGTTCCTGCACTTCACTGTGGTTAACCACACTGTCCTTCAGTGAAGTCCTGCTACCACACATAGACAGGGAACAGGCGTTTGCTATGCCATGCCCCAGGCTGTGCAGCACCCACAGATGGAGAAGACCTTCCTATGCTTGTCACGGGCAATGGGCTCCTCCTCCAAGGCCATCGGGAGTTGAAGAGGGGGCCGGGACTAAGCCCATTTACTGCTCTGCTGGCCTGCAAGAACAGCCACGGCAGGACTTGACCCGCACCACCAAGGGCCTGGAGCCTTCCCGTTCTGGGCTTGGGAGTGGGGGGCGGGCAGCTGACTAGCTTCCCTGGGACCCCTCCTGTGGTGGGGAACACATGGAATGTTAGTCTGGGACTTCTATCGAGCCAACATGTGACAGGGATTGGATCTTGAGGCAACAAGTGAATACAGTCTAGAAACTGGACTGGAAACCAGGCCCCTCTTTGTCGTATAATAGATGTTCTCGTCTACATCAGTTGCTCCTCTTTCCTGAACCATGTGACTGCATCTATAGTTGTCTCTCTCTCTATCTCCTCTTACTCTTTTCCTTAAAGAGTCTCCTTTTATCTTGTAAACTCTGGGGAAAGCAGCTGAGAAAAATTGATAGAAGCTGTGCATGATGGATACCCATCCTGTCTAACAGAGCTTGAACAAATTGGCCAAATGATGCAGTCTCAGTACAGAGGGATGAAGGGCAATATTTGGGGTGAGGTGGGACATCAGCAAGCAAAGAAAATATTTGGGGAGAGAGGGGACATCAGCAAGCAAAGAAAAAGATGAAAGGATTACCAGCCTGGAAAATTCTGGAGGCTATTCAGGGATCTGTGGTGGCTGGGCTTTACTGGCTCATCTTAGATGTGGTCTCTGGCCTCACTATGTGCCTGTTTCTTCTTCCCTCAAATGAAGGCTGAAGGGCCTGTCATGGTAACCTAGAAGCTGAAGTCCTCACTTTGAACATACCAGGATTCCATATTGACGCCGGTTCTAATCCCGGCAGCTCCACTTCCCATCCAGCTCCCTGGTTGCAGCTTGGGAAAGCAGTTAAGAATGGCCCAAAGCCTTGGGACCCTGCATCCATGTGGGAGGCCCAGAAGAAGCTTCAGGATCCTGGCTTCAGATTGGCGCAGCACTGGCTACTGTGGTCACTTGGGGAGTGAACATCGGACGGAAAATTTTCCTGTCTCTCCTTCTCTCTGTATATCTGACTTGCCAGTAAAAATAAATAAATCTTAAAAAAAAAAAAGAAGGCTGGAGGCTGAAACAGCCTGGAAGCCCTTTAGTGCTACACCCTAGCCCTTTTTACTTACTTGCTTCTAGCACTTTCCAGTGTACTTTCTTGAGGCTGTGAATTTAGGGAGGCAGAAAAAAGAAGCCCAGCTGGTGGTGAACAGGGGCACTTTCCCTCACATCTCTAAACCTCCCTTTACCGTGAGAGATTAAGAATCATTTAAAAAATGTATATTTATTTGAAAGAGAGAGAGAGAGAGAAATCTCCCAAATAGCCACAACACCCAGGGCTGAGCCAGGCTGAGGCCTGGAACTGGAAGTACATCCAGGTCACCCAAGTATGTGGCAGGTGCCCAAGCACTTGGGTCATCCTCTGTTGCTTTCGCAGGAGCCTTAGCAGGGAGCTGAAACAGAATTGAAACAGCCGGCATTTGAACCGGCACCCATATGAGATGGTGATCTTGTAGGTGGTAACTCAATCCACCAACAAGGGTTAATGCCAGTTGCATAGTGTGTGGTTTGAAGTCAGAGACAGCAAGGTGGTGTGCAGGAAGGTTTAGGATGTGGCTGGCACAGAGAGATGCTCCATGAGTTACAATTCACCTGTCAATGTGCCTGAGAAGGGTGACCCCTGGGCAGCCCACTGAACACTCTCTCCTGTCTATCAAGGTGACTGGTAGGATGTGTGTGTGTGCGCGTGCGCGCAACTACAAGTGCTTTGATGATGACATGTACTGGAGCCAGAACTGGAGGCAAGGCAGACTGGATGGGGCCCCGAGACAACTTCTGACTCTCGCTCATTCTGGGGACTGGGGTCCACCTGGCTGTCCCCTCTGCTGCTTTTCGCACTGCTGATTGGCAGACACAGTAGGTAGGACGCGGGAGGGCATCCACCTGCCCCTGGCATCCTCCCTAGTGCCAGCCCCAAGCTGCTGTGCTCCCTCCACTTGGGAGATTAAGACTGCTTTATTTCCAAAATAAAGAGAACAAAGCTCCCCTAATGGAAATAATTATGCTGTAATAAAAGGCCGCTTAATGGGTTCTCATTAACAAGCTGCACTCAGGGGATGAGAGGAGCGCTGACAGCTGTCAGTGTGACTGTCACAAAATCACAGGAGGGTGGGTGGCTGCTGCTCCCTAGGGGACCAGGAAACGAGGAGGGGACGGCAGAGGAAAGCTTGGCACACACACACACCTGCTGCATCCCTGTTCCCAGACTGCAGCTGTTACTCCAGGGAATGGGGTTCACAGAGAAAGGGGCTCAGGAGCAGCCCCCTGGGACTCCAGGACCTTGTCTGGCCTCACAGGGCTGGTTTGAAAATGTAGGGGCAAGAGTCCCTGGAGGGGGAAGGAAGCAAAGGATGGGAGGGTCTGTTTACAGGCTGGGAGCTGTCACAGCTGAGGAGCTACAAATGGCTGAGGCTCTGGTCCCTGGGCCATTGCTTTTGCCTCTGAGTATAGATAGGAAGATGGGGCGCTGGTCTCTTTCTGGCTGCTTCCTGCTGATTTGGGGCATTTCTGTGCAGTGAGCTATCTGTCCTCTGGTTAGGATTGGCCGAACTTCAAGATCAGTCTTAGGTTGCTACTGTGTGATGGCTTGGGGTATAACAGGTGCGCGTTCCTGTATGAACTTCAGATACGCGTTAATTGTACATGATAGGGATAGAAGTATAGCTATTATGAAGATACGAAGAGATACTAGAGACATTGCCCATAGTGGAGAAGATCATCGGAGAGGGTAGGATAAATCTCTGATTTTAAATTGCTAGTCTGGTCCTTCTGGTCCTTGTGCCTGCTGGGTTACATCCAAAGAGATTAGCTGAAGGGATGAGTCTGAAATCCCTCTTGAGTTGGTAGGTTAGAGACAGAATACAGAGATTGGTTTAGAGTAGAGGTCCAAGGGAGACGTAGGAAAGCAAGAGTGTAGGCTCCTGTAAGATTGGTGGGAAAGCAGATGTGTGCCCAGCCCCAGCAGAGGGAGTGTTGGAGTTGTTTGGGGTGCACTTGTTGGCACAGAGCTATGGCATGGAGAAAGCCTGGCCTGCCCGCGGCTAGTTTCGGGCTCTGTGTCGAGCAGGCACTTGCTCCTCTGGATTTTTCCAGCCCTCCAGGCTGCTCTGTGAGCAGAGCCTGACTGTGTAGTCCTGATGAGTCCTTTTGCAGAGAGGGCACCTTAAGAGCCAGGGAGGGCAGTAACTGGAAGAGGAGCTACAATTGAAGCCTGGTGCCTTGCCCCCTGGCAGTTGGGCCCATTTCCTCTACCCACTGGTCCATGGGAAAAAAGCAGTGGCTCTGTTGTGGCTGAGCGACCAGGGCTTTTTTTTTTTTTTTTTTTTGACAGAGCTACAGAGAAAAGAAAAGATACAAAATAAGATCTTCCATCTGTTGGCGCACTTCCCAAATGGCCACAATGGCCAGAACTGAACAGATTGGGACATACGTGGGTGTAGGGATCCAAGGACTTGAACCTCTTTCATTGCTTTCCCAGCCTTTGGCAGGGAGTTGGATCAAAAGTGAAGCAGCCAGGATGAGCACCATATGGGATGCTGACATCCAGGGAGAAGGCTCAGCCTGCTATGCCATGGTGCTGGCCTTGGAACCAAGGACTTTGACATCCCACTCCTGAGCTTCCCCCAGCTCACATGAGAACTTAGGCTAGGCCCACCTTCTCCCAATGTTCACGTGCACCTAGCTCAGCATCAGCTAGACATCTGGTTTGTCTCATTTCAGTGCCACAAATGGAAGCCAGCTCTGCAGTATAGAGCTGATGGCACGGGGACAGTGCGTGGTCACACAGGGGACAGGTGCAGATGTGTGAGTGGATGGGCTGCTTGTGGCTGAGCCAGAGATGGGCTGGGCAGGCATTTGGTGCCATCCCAGAGCACCAACCCTACAGCCTATGGAGGAGAGGTGACTGTGGCTTCCACAGCCACAGGCAGGAAAGGAAGGGCTGATGTGGGCAAGACCACGCACACCACTGTCGCCACCTCTCATGAGGCTTCCTCAGGCTCACTCATAGATCTTCAGCCTTGCAACCTAGACAGATGTCCTTTGAACCTGAGAACAGGGCTGGCCAGGAGAGGGCTGCCCTACACTGCTGCCCTTAGGGGAGAGCATCTTACAGCCCCAGCCACCTGCAGCCCTCAAGTTTTACCAGGGACATGGAAGGACTATGAATCCAGGCAGTCAGCAGCAGGCAGACAGGCCTGGGCGTCATAGGCACCAGACTGGCTCTCATCGGTGTCTCTCGTTTTGCTAGAATGACCTTTTCCGGGGTTTTTTGGAGAAGAAAAGCAGCAGTAGAAGTCATGTCTGAACACAGCAGCCCGTGGGGTTGTTCATGGTCCGCTTGCCAATGCTGGGGCAGATCTGACATCTCCAGCCAGTTAATCCTTTTTGACCCAGCAGTTCGTCCTGACCCTGTGGCCCCATCCCTCCCCCAACCTCCTGGGTAACATCCTGCTGCTCAGAAATCCCAGCCATTCTCCCAAACAAACTATGCAAACAGGCAAAGGACGCATGGAGCGGAAGGCGACTTTAAATTACCAGGCAAGCATACTTGGGAAGCACATTCCAGGAAGGCGTTTTAACAAGAGGTACCTCCTGGAAAGGAGGGGGGGAGCGGGAAGAAAAGACAAGGCAAAATAAAATAATAATAATAATAATAATAATAATAATAATAATAATAATAATAAAGCCCACCCCTGCACTTCTGCCTAACTCAGTTCTAGCAGCGGCTGCCTCCTGTTTGGGAAGACCTATATCCCCGGAATAGTAAATTTTTTATTGTATTTTTTGCTTTGTTTTGTTTTCTGGTATACAGAAAGCTTATTTAATTTTCAGAACAAGTAGCAGCAGTGGGTGCGGGAGAGAGGAGTGGAAAAGCGGAGAGCTTACTGGAGGTGTGTGACCTGGTCCAAGGCGTGTGGCTAATGGGCACCCCAACCTCCTTCACTGTACCAGGTAACAGCACAAACTTGCTCACCACCACCACTGCGGGGCACTCCAGCAGAACTGGTGTGCAGGAAGCCACAGCAGGTGTCTTGAGGCCCCATCCCCTCCTGCCTGCAAGGTTTGGCATGCAGAGCACACATTACCTGCAAGGGGCCTCAATCAGTGGGATTGAGACAGGCTCTGACCCCTGTCCCAGGGAGCAGAGGAGACTGAAGACCCAAGAGCTGAGTGTGCTCTTCTGGGGCTGCCTGCGTGCCAGACCTGAGGGCCCCTAGCATAGACTCCCGTGGTAGGGCCAAAGCCAGCCAGTGCAGGTGCACACAGGGGCTCTGGGTGTGGGAGATGAAGCGTAGGATGGAATGCCGGGGCGGGACCCATACTCAGTACTCAGAGCAAATATCTTGTACATGTGTATGAATTCTGTTACTTCTGTTTCATTTTATTTTTTTTTAAAGGGACAGAAAGAAGACATCTCCCATTTACTGCTTCACTCCTCAAATGTGGATAATGGTTTGGGGGAGGCAAAGCAATGGTCCGGAGCAATAAACTGAACAAGTCTCTCGCTGGGTGACAAGGACCCAACTACTTGAGACATCACCATATGTGGCCTCCCAAGGCGGGCATTAGCAGGACTAGAGCCTCTGAATAGGGGACATAGGAGTCCTAGTTGGCATCATAACCACTCTGCCAAGTGCCTTCCTCTGCACATGAATTTTAGAAGATTATAGGGGTGTTCAAGAAATGGCAAGGGATTGTTTGGGAGAAGGAAACATTCTACCTTAGGCATTTGATATTGCTTGATTTGTTTGTCTATATACATTTTGGCCTGTGTTGCTTTTATTTATTTGGGGACCAATTTGTTTTGGGCGAAAAGAGGTAGTTAAGAAACACATTAAGGGCCCGGCGGCGTGGTCTAGTGGCTAAAGTCCTCGCCTTGAACGCCCCGGGATCCCATATGGGTGCCGGTTCTAATCCCAGCAGCTCCACTTCCCATCCTGCTCCCCGCTTGTGGCCTGGGAAAGCAGTCGAGGACAGCCCAAAGCTTTGGGACCTTGCACCCGCGTGGGAGACCTGGAGGAGGTTCCTGGATCCTGGCTTCGGATCGGCATAGCATTGGCTGTTGCGCTCACTTGGGGAGTGAATCATCGGATGGAAGATCTTCCTCTCTGTCTCTCCTCTCTGTATATCTGCCTTTCCAATAAAAAAAAAATAAAAAAAAAACATTAATATTGTCTGGGATATAAAATGTTTTTTTCTCCCCTTATCAAAGACACATTTTTGAGCAATCTTAAACAAACCTTTAGGGGCCAGCATTGTAGTGCAGTGGTATGTGATAACAACATCCCATATTGGAGTGCTGGTTTGAGCCCTGGCTGCTCTGCTTCTGATCCGGCTCCCTGCTAATGCACCTTGGAACGCAGCGGAAGATCACCTAGGTGGTTGGGTGTTTGCACCCATGTGGGAGATCCAGATGGAGTTGCAGGCTTCTGGTTTTGGGTTGAACCAGCTCTGTTATGGCCATTTGAATGAACCAGGGGACAGAAAGTCTCTTTCTTGGTCATTCTGTCTACCATAATTAAGTAATATTTTAAGAAATCTTTAAAATCCTCCAAGCACAATAGCCTAGTGGCTAAAGTCCTTGCCTTGAGCATGCCGTCAGGATCCCATATGGGCACTGGTTTTAATCCCAGCAGCCTCGCTTCCTGTCCAGCTCCCTACTTGTAGCCTGAGAAAGCAGTCGAGGATGGTCCAAAGGCTTTGGGACCCTGCACCCATGTGGGAGACCTGGAAGAATTCCTGGTTTCTGGCTTTGAAACAGCTCAGCTCCAGCTGTTGCGGCTGCTTGGGGAGTGAAATATTGGATGGAAGATCTTCCTCTCTGTCTCTCCTCTTCTCTGTACATCTAACTTTCCAATAAAAATAAATAAAACTTTAAGAGAAAAATCTTTAAAATCCTTTAAACTAATAACAAAAACAACAACAAACCTCAAAAAAACAATAAATCCCTATGGCTTCAGCTGATCTCCCTTCCACCTGACCACATCCTATGCATCTACCCTGCCTAGTAGGTGCAGGTCTTAGGCAGGCTATGTGTCTGTCCCTGGAAGCTTTGCTGAGGCCTCTGGCAGCAGTGGCCAGGCCCAAAGGGGCTATGCACTGTGGCCAGGCCAGCTCTACGTGCAGGAGCCCAGCTCCAAGGGGCTATACATCGCAGCACTTCTCCAGGGCTGCTGTTGGAGGAGCCCAGCCCCATGTCTCAGCAATGGGTGGCCCCCTTGTTATTGATCCCACATGCCCAAGCCCTTATCCTTATGAGGACCTTGAGCCACCAGCTGGGGGGGGGGGTGTTGGGGGCATGCCTTTGCCAGCGTGAAGTTTGACCTTGTTTTCTGATTCCTTCCTTCTACCTCACATCATGGATTCTCTGGTGTCCTGAGCTGAGCTCAGGGCAATGGGCTGGGGTGCGCATGTGCTGGGGGAAGGGTCCCAGGCCAGATGCCAGCACCAAGCTCGGTGGCTGGCAGGTACCATTGTTCAGCTCCCTGTTCCCCCAACTCACGCCTCCTGCTTTGTCGTGTCAATTTGGGAGCCGTCGTATCATCTCTGAAACACACCCAGCTCTCTCTGCTTGGTCCTGCAGTGTCTGCTCTGCCTGCTCTGCCTGCCAGCAGCCTGGTGACTGTGGGCTTCCTTTGCTCTCTCTGGACCTGGGAGCCCATGTAGGTCAGAGAGAGCAGGCCCGTGTGGCTCCTGGGAGCCTATTCCCACACCGTGTGTGTGCTCAGAGCTTATTTCCTGAAACTTGAGAGATGTGCCACCCTCCTGCCCAGCTGGGCAACAGCTCAGGATGGCTGAGGGCTGGAGGAGATGGCAGGAGCAGTGATGTGACACAGCAGGGACAGCACCAGGAGACTAGTAAGATTGCTACCATTGATAGTGGAGTGGGGACGACCACTTCATGAGAGTTACGAAGACATTCAAAGTAGCAGCACAGAACCCCAGGTTTTTCCCAGTGCAGGTTCAGAAAACTTTACAGAGCTAGGGGCATTTGAGTCAGGCTTTGAAGGATAATGAGGAGTTCATCCATGAGAGGAGACCTCAGGAGACTTGTAGTCAGTTGACAGAGCAAGGAGAAAGCAGAGTATGTTTCACTCAGAGATGTGGCAGTGGTGGACAAGGAGGCTGAAAAGGCACCTGGGCACCACACAGAGTAGAGCCTTTTGGACCATTCAGGGTGCTTTGGGCTGCAAGTGAACAACAGAAGTGTGTCAAAATCCATTTTATTAGTGTTGGCATCATGGTAGATTATATGGCATCCCATTTGGATACTGGTTCAAGTCCCAGCTGCTCTACTTCTGATCTAACTCCCTGCTAAGGCTCCTGGGAAAGCAGTGAAAGATGATGCAAGGCCTTGGGCCTCCACACCCATGTGGGAGATCCAGAAGTAGCTTCTGGCTCCTGACTTTGGACCAGCCTAGCTCTGACCATTGAGGCCATTTGGCAAGTAAAGCAGCATATAGAAGATATTGCTTTCTCTCTCCTCTTCTGTAACTCTGCCTTTCATGATTAATTAGTCTGTATTATTATATCATGGAGCTGACAGAAGTAAGGACCCACATCAGTCAACTTGGTGGCGGAACCATCTGATCAAGAACTAGTTAGCTCCTTGGGTTTGTCTCCTCATAGCTGCAAGATGGCTGCCACAGCACCAGGCAACATGGCCTCATATATTCAAAGACAGTAAAGGAACCATTTCCCCAAAAGTCAAGGAAGTCTTCCACCTGGCTCCCTGCTGTAGGAGTGGGTCACATGACAATGCCTTGGCTGTCAGGGAGGCTGGGAGAGCATACTATGTATGTTCCATTCTGTGTGAAGGAAGCAGGACTTGAACAGCCTCAGAAATCCCAGTTCTTGTGGGAGGAGGGGAATGGCAGTGACCCTGCACGTAACCCTTCACCACTTGCAAGGTGCTTTCCGGCAGCACATTCGTTGGACCCTTCCGGCAATCCTACAGGCAGCAGTGTTGCTCTCATTAGGAGAAATCAAGGTCCAGCTAATGGGAGCAGGTGGAGAGGGCCCCTGTCTCCAGGTGAAGAGTTGGGTCCTCTGGGGAGAGGCTGGGGTGGCTCTGGGGAGGCGGCTGCTGGCACAGGGAGGGTGGGTGCTCCTCTGACAGCTGCACAGATAATCAGCGCTTCTCCATCACTGCTAATGGCAGGTTTAGCTTGCTGACTCCTCTGCCTGCCACCTCCCACGAGCCCAGAGCTGGGAGTTACTTGATTGCCTTGGGTGGGTGGGGCAGCTGTGGCAGAGGGAATCCCGAGTGCCAGCTTTGCCCACAGCCAGGGACTCTACCCAGGACCCTGAACCTGGGCTCCTCCTACCCCAGGGAGCTCCTGCCAGGCTCCAAGGCATGGAAAGGGCCTCCTATGAACCACTTCCCCTCACACGTGGAAGACTTTGGGCCAAGAGGTTTTCTCCAGGACCCTGCACAATGGCTCAAGGGCTAAATCCAACCCTTGTGCGCACCGGGATCCTGGGTAACTCACTGATTGCTTCACAGTGCCCCCTGGCTTTGCTCCTGGATCTTGCTCCTGCCTTAGGAGCCCCTGGGTCTCTTCTGGACTCTCCCTAGTGACCATCAGCTC